AAATGGGTAATGATAAGCACTTAACCTTATGTTTAAAATGCATTTTAACATTCAATATGCCTTAATTGTAACTTATTACATTTGGGCGGCATTATGCTAATATTTCCACATAGTGAGGTAGATATGTGGGGGCGTGTTAGAACGAGCCGTTTTAGGGGGGCATGGCAGAGTCTTAACTTTTATAAAGAATATCTCTTTGGTTTTGAGACTTTAGTCTTTGCAACTTCAGGGATCTTATCTATGCACAATCAGCTTGTAACACTCCAAAGAGAAAGGAAAACTTGAAATCGCATCATATGACCCCTTTAACATTGCAGAATAGAACATGATCAATATTATCTTTCAACGTTCAATTTACATAACTGTAATTGCACAAACTATGTAGGCTACAATTTCAGTTTGTTTATTGTGAAATAACTCTGTTCTTCTGTCCTCTGATAAGCATTGTTCAGGACTGCCGTTCCCAAAAGTTTAATGCTTTCTCATGATACTTTTGGGAAATGCAGCCCTGTTTGAATATACTGTCAGAAGTGAGTGAATGCACTCTGTGATTGATTGGTTCTGTCTTGCAACATTTGCGTGTTCAGATGAGCAGGAAAATAGTTATATCCTACACAATTACTCGCTAAAGGTTATTAGTCCAATTCAATGCATATTGTACGCATTATTATTATTATTTTTTTGTTAAATTAACAAAATCACTAGTAAATAAAACACACCGTAGTATCGATATTTTTTGTTTGAGTATCGATACTTTCGATACTCGCGTCAGTATCAATATTAATACTTTGGATCGATACGCCCATCCCTAGTTCTCTCTTGCATCGTCAGATTTATCCATATGTCTGCTCTTCTCTTACTCCCACATATTGACATTTCTGAACGTTTTATGCGACGTGCAGCAAGTGTATGTTACCACGCAGCAGATTCGTTCTGAATGAATCTCTTCCCAAATCGTCCCTCCCTAATATTTTCGTCTTGTTTTTATTCGTTGACGAAAATGTCAATAGTCATAGTTTTTGTCATTCAAAAAGAGTTTTAGTTCGTTATCGTCTCTTTGTCATCTGTGAAAAAAATGTCGTTGACGAAAATTATTCGTCAACTAAATTAATACCGTTTCAGACTTTGGTTTGAAGACTGAGATGTGACGAGGAACTCACAGAACGGATGTTGAAAATAATATAAGTCTCCAAGCGCAGAGCTTCTAGTGTTTCACAATCTCGCACCAAATCAAAGCTCCTCATGCATCTGCTAGTTTGGTCCTTCAGAAAAACTGTAAAACAACAGGGTAATCTATGTTTAGCAACATATTAGAACATCTAGTCAGGTGCAAGTGACTCAACCCCAACAGGAAAACACAAAAATTATAACCACTAATCCTACATATCACACTGCTATATGAATGTTGCCTCAAACCATGAAGCTTGTTGTTGCTATTAAAATACTGTTTGGACATGCAGCATTAACATTTTCTTCAGAATAAGTCGTTGTTCGGTCCTACCTGCAGGGTTTGCGTCTGAGCAGTGAGCTGTTCCTGCTGAGGCAGGAAAGGTGAAGAACTCCTGCTCTTCAGCCTCATTCACTGTTTGAATGACATCTCCATACTGAGGACAGAACAGAGACAGAAACATTGCTTAACCTTACTGTATCATATTTTGACCTCTAAATTATCAACTTGATCAAAGGTTTACCTGATTATCCATACATCATTTCAATCATGTTCAAATGTGAGTATCAAATATGATCCATTAGGAAACTTGAGGAATGTTTATTTGTTCATCTCTCAATCAGCATTGCATTATATGTTTTGCCCCACAATAAAAACTACAGAGCTTTGATCATAAAACTAAGCATTTAAATATGATATTACTAAGACCTATTATTGGTTGATATTGATTGATATATAGCTCCAGCTCATAAAAGCTAAATGTCATAAATCATAAATATTTTATTACAATATCACAAATATTTAGTTACAATTGATCCTCAAATGATCAGATAATGCAACATTTGAACACTGAGACTCAAACTATGTTTTCAATTCATATTTAAATACCAGAAAAAAATTTTTATTTTTAAATGTACACTTTTACACATTTTCTTATTTATTTTTTAATAATAAATACATTATATAATAAACTATATTGGACATAAATCTAAATATTTGACATTCTTCCCCATATTCAGCAAAGCTCATATTCTTTTCCCATAATCAGCGAAATCACATTTCTAAAAGTAAAATCAAAATTGTGGTTCCTATAACGCTGAATAAATTCAATAACGTCAGAACTCATTTTAACTGTGCAAACTCCAAGTTAAAAAAAGTACTAAATGTAAACTAAACAACGTAGAGCAAATAATGTTAATATCATCTTTAAGTTTTTTTATAGAACATTAAATAATTAGTTCACCCAAAATTATAATTGCAGAACATTCAGCCTAACCTTGCCTTTTGTTTTCCACTGATGAAATAAAATAATACAAATTACAATTAATTATGACAGAATTTTGAGTGAAATCTTCATTTAATTGATACTTCTTTCATCATATTAGTTATGAGATATTTATATGGTATGGGTTAAACCTTCTTCCAGAGGATTTCATCTACTATCCCAGTTTCTTCTTGAAACAAAGCTGACCTGACTCTTTCTGCTGTGCAGTCAGTGAACAGGGCCAGCTCCTCAGTGCAGTCTGGATCACAGCAGCAGTTTATGTCACACTGCCCGTTTTGCAGGTTGCACGGACACAGCTGAGAGACTGGGCAGGGAAAGAGGAAACCACTTCGTTGGTCGAATCATTAAGGCATGATATACAGATGACTGTCTGCATTCGCACCTTCGGTGAGCGGCAGAGGCTGCGCTGCTGTGGCGGCTCGCGGGGATTCGGGGCTCGTGTTGGGGATGGAGCTCTCGGAGGTCTCGGTCTGACCGGGGAACGCCGTCACGGATTCGGGAGTCCAGGCTGTTGGAGCTGGGAAATAATCCGGAGATTCACTGACTCCCAGATCGGTGAAATCAATATTCCTATTAAATATTAGATATTATTATGAAAATCTTGCTAATTATTACTCCCATTATTTCACTTATTTGTTCATTCTATGTTGCCCCAAAAACACATTAATATGCAAATTAGATACAGTTTATAGATATATTGTATATAATGGAAAAACTTGTTTATGGCCATTTTACACACTTTTTGCATAAAGAAAAATGTTTTTTAAAAATATCTTTCATAACATAGTTGAGAATCGTCTTTATATAAAGTTTGGTATACAAAATGAAAATTGATTTGTGATTAAAACAAAAAAATCCCACTGTTTTTGCCTTTCATGTCTATTCATGTCTTTTTATTTCTTAAAAAACAGGACTTTTTAAAGTCCCGATGTCTTCTACAGAGGACATGGCATAACATATGAATAAAATATCATTTTTCAAAAAATATAATTTTCCACATTTTTTCTTATGCTCTAAACAATGTAATGACATGACAAAATGCTAAATTCATAAAACTGTTTTTTTCTGTTATAATATATTCTGTTATATATATATTCTCACAATTTTGTAGACTACAGTATAAGTGCCTTTTCATCTTTTCAATTGTGTAAAACATTTAAACTTGTTTTTAATATTATTTTAATATTTTAACTTTTTTAATTTTATATAATTTTTAAAGTGAGAAAATTTTGTTTTGGACTTTTTCAATGTGAAAGTTTCTCATTAAAATCAACTGTAAAACAACGTTTCGACTTAAATACTCCACATCAGTACAGAATAGTTTAGTACTGTATGCAATGGAAAAATAAACGAAGATGGTTTCCTTGTCATCTCCACAGAAGTAAGAAGAGTGATCAATATTTTAGTTTAAAGGGGTCATATGATGTGATTTCAAGTTTTCCTTTCTCTCTGGAGTGTTACAAGCTGATTGTGCATAGATAAGATCCCTGAAGTTCCAAAGACTAAAGTCTCAAAACCAAAGAGATATTCTTTATCAAAGTTAAGACTCTGCCACGCCCCCCTAAAACGGCTCGTTCTAACACGCCCCCACATATCTACCTCACTATGTGGAAATATTAGCATAATGCGCCCAAATGTTCACGCAAAGAAAGAAGGCGTGGTTTCAGTAACCGCAGTTAGTGTTGAAGCAGCATGTCAGGGAGACGCTGTGTGTTTCTAGG